GTATGAGTCAGGGTTTCCTAAATTCCCCCATAAAAAATATTTAGGTGGCGACTCTGTATCTGGCAAAGCAGTCCATGTTTGGCATTTCTTTTCTAAAAATCTTGTTTTCTAAAAACGATTTGCCGGATTTGTACTCTTTGGTTCAGATTAAGAACCGTGACACAAATCGAGTCCGAACTGTAGCGAGGCCCACGGGCGACGTCTACAGACATGTCCCTATGTTTTTTCCTCTTTGGTTGGGAGCATTCAGAACGTGTTCCGATGCTTATACCACTCATTTTCCGTTCGCGTGTAACGCGTCGGAATCTTGTCTGAGACCTCGGGTGTGCCCAATGGTTGCTTTTGGCCTTTCCTACGTGAGGCATAGTGAAGATTGCATAATTTTATTACATCATTTCTACGTGAAATGTGGTTTGACTTGTGAGTCCCGCGCACAGCGTGCTTGTGTGTTTGTGTTTCTCATGTGTGAGATTACCATACCTTATCGGTTTGCTTCAAATGATGTATTTACTTTGCATAACATTTGCATAAATGCTTCATTACAACTCCCTTTGCATAATCATAAGTTATGCTCTCGCATTGTGCATGTTTCCGAGTTCTGTCAAAGAGGGACAACTGTAGACACCCCATTTTTGACCGACCTTAAGACTCTGACGTCATCGTTCGTGCACGCAATGATTGCGCATGTTTGTGCTTGTTTCGAGCGCCCGAAGTTCTCGGCTGAGTGCCTTGTCTTTGAGCCTCTTAACACTTTGTGTTTTGGCCTTGGTTTTTGGGCCAAACCTTCTTGCCTCTTGCTTGAGGGAAGGGAAGGGCTGTCGGCCACTCGTGGCACTTGCCGGCCACTTTTCTCCCTTGTAGGACACTTTGAGTGGTCGGCCAGCTAGGGAAGGTGGCCGGCCGGTCGCCTTAACTGGCCGGTGGCCATTTTTTCACCTTTTTAGATATTTTCAGATCTTTTGAGCCAGCTGTGGCTCACTGAACTCATCCTTCATACACATGTATGGAGGGGATGGAAACAAGCTTTAAGCTTTTCAAGCAAGCTTGTGCTTGCATTGCTCTATATAAGAGGAGCTCCCTCCCCCTATTCACGGGTTCAGATTTTTCAGAGCTAAAAATCTCCCTCTCTATCTCTATATTGTGCTATTTTGAGCCTTAAGAGTGTGTTTTTATTCATATATTTGCACTATAACACCTAGTCAAACACCACAAACTTATTGCTAAGGCACTTGAGGGTCTTGTTTGGACTCAAAAAGCTGGTTTTAGCTCAGAGAAGTTGTTGTCTTGCTGTGGTTCTTCAAGGGTAAGCATATACCCCTTTTAGGCTTGTTTTTGTACTAGTTTAGGCCACCTTTGCATGCTTATTTTGGCCTAGTTGTCAACTGAAAAAAAAAAAAAAAAAAAAAAAAACTCTATTTTTGAGTGTTAAAAATGGTTGTTTGAGGCTCTGTGGGAGTTGGGGGTGTTTCACCCCCTTGTATGCCTTATTTGCTAAGCTTTTGGGCCATCCTTTAAAGCTTTTGGAACCACCTCATTTTGGCCCTTTAACCACTGAATTCCAGAGGAATTTCAGCGGCAGAAAGGTGGTTTTGAAGTCCCAAATAGGAAGGGGTGGTCCCCTCTTCTCTTGTCTTACTTGCTTGTGTTGATGGCCCACAAATGAGTATGTGTTTCTACCTCTTTGTGGCTTTGTTCAAGCATATTTTGGTGAGTTTTTAGACCTACCATAACTCAATTTTTGGCTTATTTGATCATTGGTTGCTCACATCTTATACTTCTAGTGCAATCTTGCTTGTTAGCATAGTATGCTTCATGAGTTAGTCCATTGTTCTAGCATGCTTTAGCTCTGTCTCAGCATGTTCTTACTCATGTTTTGCCATGCTCTAACTTTGTTGTGAGTGGTCTTGGCCCTTTGAGGCTTGCCTTGCATGGTTGTAGTGTAAAGGGCCTTGACTAGCTTTGAGTTTTGAGGCGTTTAATATGTTATGCATGTGATGTTTGCATGGTATAGCACCATTTAGCATGTAATTTCAGTGCATATAGTGTAGTCACACTCTCATATACTTCACTTTTTCATAGCTTTTGAGGGTTGTGTGTTATGCCTTATTTATGAGCCAATACGTATACATGCTTGTCTAAGCTTTTGGGCTCCCTTTTCAGCATGTTTTAACCTTTGTTTTTCGCGTAATTGAGCTCTGTCCAGAGCTGGTTTGGTTGTTTAGGCTATGTATTGCATGCTTGTTGTGTAGTGCTCTTTACTAGCCTTGTGCTCTAGGCCCTCTAGCTTGCATTATTTGTGACGTTTGTATGATATGGCATCATTTAACATGTAATTTCAGAGCATATAGCCTTGTCATACTCTCATGTATATTACTCTTTAATTGTGTTTAAGAGTCCTGTCTCATGCCTTGTTGGTGAGCCAATGCATGAACATCATTTTCTTGCCTTTCATGCTATCATTTTAGAGCATTTTGGCCACTATTTTGGCATGCATGAGGTCTGTTTAGGGCTGGTTTGGTCCATGGAGCATTGTATTGCATGTCTTTAGTGTTGTGTCCTTCACTAGTTTCATCATTTTAGTCCCTTAACATGTCTTGCATTCATTGCTTACATGATTGAGTCTTGTGCATGTCGCTTTAGCATTGAAAGATAAGCATGTTGTTTGCATTGCATTGTGTTTGGATCGGACGTTAATCCAAACACAAGAAATGTGAGACGTTTCACACTCCAAGTGATGAAACGTGTCACATTTCTTGGTCGCCGACCCTCTTGACCATGGATGATAGAGGTGGAGGCTCTTATGTGTTGTTTGTGCATTCACTAACATTTTGCAAGCTTGACTCTTCGGCCATCATGCATTAAGATGCATGATTGGTGGCTTGAGAGCCGAGTATTACGCTCCTTTGAGCTTGAGAAATGATAAAGAGAGTAGTTGCACACACATTTCCTTACAAATGCATTGTTGTGCCTTTGTTGTTCTCTGTTGCAGCAAAACAAGAATTCTGGAAGGAGAGGTGGCCGGCCGGCCACTTACACTAGCCGACCGACCATTTGCACTGGCCGACCGGCCAGTTGAGGTAACCTACTGACCAGTTAAGGTGGCCGGTCGGCCACTTGAAGCAAAATTTTCCAGAATGCTTCTATTTTGGGGCAGATGCAACCTGAAAGTGTGTTTGATGCTCTGAGATCACCGCGAGTGCAAACAGAGGCAATTCATGGCAAGGCAGTGCATTTCCAAGCGGAAGCGAACCGAGCATGCATCTCTCCCTCGCCCTCGAGGCCATTTTACCGCTTTACTTAGCTAGTTAATTGCTGGTTTTGTAATTAATTAGTTAATGTGCTTAGCTAATTTAAATCGTCTTTGTAATATTCTAATTAGCTTGGTATAGCTAGTTTAAATTCGGTTTGTAATTAATTAGTTTAGCATAGTTAATTAGTTGATTTGTAATAAGTAGCTTAGCTTAGCTCTGATTTATTCGGACCCTCCGTCGAGAGGGCAAATGTTGTAATAAGTGTGTGTGCCTATGTGAATGTCTTCCAACCCCACGTCTTTCTCCCTTTTATTTACCCACTTTCAGTGGTTAGATTAGGGCATATTTCGATTAGCATACCTTATGCTTGCATGCGTGCATCATTCATTCGTCTTGCATGCACCGTGCTCAGTGCATCATTCAAACTGCATTGTATTTCAATACACATTCTTGAATACGTGTTTCAAAGCATGTTATCAAGTGTTGTATTCATATGCCATTTTAGATAGCCGAGCCTATTTTAGTTGCATTTTGCATGTGTTGCATTAGGCATTGTTGACATAGTTAGGATCATGCATGATTTCTAACTAACTTCTGTTTTGGCTCGGAGTACACTGTAAGTGTTACGCTTTAGCATCCTTGCATGAGTGTAAGTGATTGCCATGTTTAGTATACTTGCCATGAGGCTATGTGCTTAAATTATTAACTACATGAATGCCTGTGGATGATGGCTTCATTACTTGAATTGGAACAATTCATCAAAATGTGAGTTTTAAGGCCACTTGAAGTGGAAAATCATCATGTTTTAAGCCCACCTTATTTGGTGGAAAATCCGCGTTTTAGCCTACTTGCAAGTAGCATTTTCAAACCATTTTCGAAAAACAAACATAAGATGTTTTGTTCCAAATTGAGCGATTTAGTCTATACTTGTGTGCTGTGTGCATCACATAGTAAGTTAGCTAATAATCAGAATAAGAACACATTTGTTTTCAAAACAACATATCATGTTTAGTAGAGGCCGATCCTTTGATCGGACGAGTAGGGGTGCTCATTTCAGAACCTTCCCCTCTCGTACCCAAGTTCCCGAGCCGAGGCAACTTTGGTGATGATGGACACGTGGCCTTAGACATGAGTCAGGGTTTTCTAAATTTTCCAAAATAAAATATTTAGGCGGCGACTCTGAAATCTGGCAAAGCAGTCCATATTTGGCGCTTTTGATTCAAAATTGATTTTTCAAAACCAATTGCTGGATTTGGACTCTTTGGTGATTTATCAGTCTTACATTGCGTTTTGTGAGATGAGATTCAGAACTGTGACAGATGTACGAACTGTAGTAGCTAGAACCCAATTCGCACCCTCTTCGAAAGGGAGGGGCCCACAGAGAGAGTTTCGGACGGTCTACATCTGACCCTTAATTTTCTGCAAGATAGTTTAATGAAGTTTTATGTGCAAATCACCAGTGGTGTACTTAATAAAAATAGTAACAGGAGAAAGCATATAAATTATAATAGATACACACCAATTTAGCTGTAAGTTTCATTCTGCATTTACTTACCCACAACATCCTGAGAAGGCACTTCACCAGCATTAAGGACAAAAACTATATTCTTCACCTCTTCTGAGGTTCCATTCTACATAAGCATTCAATTCAAATCATGAATCAGCTTCATCCTCTAATCATAATTCATAACCAAGCAATCAAAAAGTCAATGAGTAATCAAATAATACTGATTATCTCCGTCTTTTTTTTTTTTTTTTTTTTTTCTGAATTTTTTTCATTTTTTCTTTTTATTGTACCACATATTAAATAATTAAACAAAACATAACAAAATTTCCAATCAACAGAATAAACAGTAATGCTTTTTGTCAACGTTTTCAACAGTAATAATCGAAACCCCTTTTCAATTTCAATTCATTTACACCACCAAAACAATCAAGATCTAATTCCTTGGTAAACAACAATACAAAACATTTTAAACATCAGATTTTATTCAATTAAGACTAATACATCATGTATAATCCAAAAAAAATAAGGCCAAATCTCACCTAATTTAAACATCATCTATTAAATAATTAAGACTAATACATCATCTATCATCAGATTAAACATCAGATTTTAATGGACAAATCTCCAGATTATAAAAAAAACATATACCCAATCAACTTGTTTCACACCAAATCTCACCTAATTTATAATCCAAAAAATAAGAGAGTTCTTTTACTTTTCTTCATTTCTAATCATTTCTTACCAAATCACCCAATCCAAACAGACAGTTAGAAACAGGAACAATCAATCATATATATATATATATATATATTCATAAATTTTGACGAAGAAATCATACTACAAGTGAGATAGTGAGTGTGTATGTACGTCTAATCTGATTCTATACACACAAGTGAGATAGTGAGTGTGCATCATGTGCTATTTCATCCATAACCAACGGAAAGAACTCAAGAATGTATCCAAATGTAAACTACTTTATCTCACCTTCAGGCTTATGCGCAATGAATTTATAGACGTTTCAATTAAGCATTTTTCAGCCTCATTTCGACATATTAAAACTTGAGAGAGGAAGTGCCAAAATCTGGATTAGGTCCATGGACAACAATCAAATTGTTGAAAACCATATTGAATTAAATATAATGAGGAGCCACCAAGTATAGATAGGTTTCAGCTATATAAACTTCGAATTGCAAGAGGTATTGAAATATAAGAAGTTAAGAGTTGGGGCTGGAGTTAAATACAAACAATTAAAAAAAAAAACCTACGATTGGCAATCCATAACATGTTACATAACCAAATCAATAGAAATTTTCATTGAAGAGCTATAAACACTACACAACTCAAAATACCTCACAAGCTCCTGTCTCTCTATGAATCCTTGCTTGAGATCATAGAGTTGAAATGAAACTGCAAGGGAGAAAAATTTTGGTTAATTGAATAGAAATCAAATCAAAATCAAAACCCTAGAAATCAAAATATGAAACCCCATTGAATCATTGGGTGCTACTTTGTTGCAGTTGAGCTTGACTTGTTTTGATTTGATCAAACTTGTTAGGTAGATAAGTTAAGGTTGAACATATTCCTAAACTGGAACTCAACTAGAACTCCGCTTGTGTCCTGCTTAGCATTTAATTTTTAAACAAGTGGTCTTAAGTTCAGAAAATTAAATTCTGAGTTTTTTTTTTAAACAAAAAAAATTAAATTGAGAAAAGGGAAAAATGAAAAATTGCAGAGAGAAAAGAAAAGGATCAAAAGGCAACAACACTTGTCTTTGTGACAGCATAACTTCTGCTTCTAGAAATTACATTAATTTTGTCTACAATAAATCTGTGTACAATGATTCTTCACAACAAAGTCAAGACATATACAAGTCCCTACAAATTGATTCTATCTCATTCCCACCTAGTTCTTCAACATATTGTTTCCATCATCCTCACCATGAACTCTTCAACAACTTCCGTCATGTTCTGAGAAAGAGAATACGAAACTGTGAGAGAGAGAGAGAGAGAGACGGTAGTGCTTACCTTAGTAGACGATGGTGCTCGCTCCCCTCGCTGGTGCACATGGTGGAGGCGCCGAAGCTTCGAAATCTCAAAATCGAAATTGCCAATCGCTCTGAGATTGGATCTGAGATGAATCACCAATCACTCTGAGATTGGATTAAACGGGGTTGAAGAAGGTTGATTCGATCGGTTAAGAGAGATTAGGGTTTAGAGAGGGTTGAGAGAGAGAGATAGAGATCGAGACCCAGAGAGTGAGTGAGAGAGCAAACGGGGCAATGTTTTTCAATTTAATTGAGTAAGTTTTTAAATATTTTAAATAATTTTTAACTTTTTAATTCAAATAATTCACATATATTTAAAAGAAAAGATATTTTTTAATTTTTTTAAAAAAAAATACTAAATTCAAAAAAAATATAAAAATTTAATACATTCATATTATATTATATTTTATTACATTTTTACAAATATTTTATTTTTTAGTTGTATTCAGATTAGGCACATCTAAAAAATAAAAATAAATAAATTATTAAAGAAGGAAAGATATAAAATCAAGGTAATTTAAAAAAAAAAAAATAATTACAAATTAATGAAGCCATATAAATATTAATTATAAAATTATATAAACTTTTCATGAATATGTAATTTTTTTTTTCTCAAAATCCCACTGGATGCAATTATCCCTTAAAAGAGACACTAAATTAATAAAATACGTATAAATTATTTTTACGTTGTCCTCAATTAGGAAAATGTAAGGTGAAAAGTTTGGTTGGAAATTGTAGCTTTTTTAAATCAAAAAAAAAATCGGATTGAAATTTTTTAATAAAAGTTTCACGACATGCTAATGCATGCCGTGTAAAGAATTATAATATTTTACGACATGAAATGTATGTCGTCTTAAGTACAAATATTTTATGACATATTTTTGTATGCCGTGAAAATATACATTTTTTACGGCATGCCTTTTGCATGCCGTAAAAGAAATTCCGTGAATTGAATTTTTTTTGCAAAAGTTTTCAGACATTAATGCATCCATTAAAGTTATAATATTTTATAACATGAAGTGCATGTTGTCTTAAGTGCAAATATTTACGACATTTTTTGAAGTCGTAAAAACATACATTTTTTACGGCATACTTTTGCATGCTATAAAATATATGAATCAACGACTTACATTGTATGTATGCTATGATGACAAAACATTAACGGCTTGCAAAAAAAAATACCGTAGATGTACTAACTACGACATGCATATTATGCATGTCGTAAACCTGATGCCGTGAATAGTAGTTTTGTTGTAGTGATAGCACAAATCTACAACAGATCTACAACAACCACCAACAATATTAATATAAAAAAACGTAGATATGTTGTAAAAAAAAAAAAACAGAAGCTCAAGCTCTCTGTGAAACAGAGAGCAAAAGAAGAGAAGGAAGAGATGTGGAGAAGAAAGAGAAAAGTGACCTGAAATCGATTTGGTTTGGAAATTTACAAAAGATCCAGATTGCAACAGATTTGTTTTTTAGAAAAAAATCGGTGAAACAGAGAGAAGAGAGGGGAGAGAGAGAGAGAGAGAGAGACTTGAGATCAATTTGGTTGGAAATCTACAACAGATTTGCAAATTTGCAACATTAGTAATGTTTAGAAAAGAAAAAAAAACACGGAGGAAGCTCGGTGAAACACAGATAAGAGAGGGGAGAGAAGAGAGAGAGAGAGAGAGAGAAGAAGAGACTGACCTGATCTTCAAAGTAGAGGAAGAAGATGAAGATGATAAGGTTAGTACAAGTTTTATTACCGTTGGAGAAAATAAATTGAATTGTGATGCTCCAAAGATTTGAACTGTGGTCGTTATGCCCACAACTCATTTATTGTAGCTCCGCTAACAGTGACTTCCATTTTTCTGTTTATAAACCTAGAAACACATTTTTTTGGTCAAATTTACAAACTAAGAACTATTATTATAAACCAAAAAATTTACCAAACAAGTTTTTATGATAATTTTTAAAATTTTTGTAAATATAAACTGAAACTGAAAATAAAATGGTTACCAAAAAATGCCTTCAAAAATTTCATGAAAGAGGAGTACAATTTACCATTATAATTAAAGTAGATACTAAAAACTTAGGCATGTCACCACTTTCCATCTTATAATAATGCTAACACTTTCCACCCAATTAAATTTTATTTTAATTTTAAAATTTCAATTGAATTAATTATAGAGCTTTAACATTATCAAACCGAGTAATTGTAATAATATGAATACTTGTACACATAGGTCATGTTTGATTGTCAAATTATTTTTAATAAAATTAAACGTGATGAGATTACTAAAAATAATAATGAGAGTAAGAGAAAATTAGGCACAGATCTCCTTACTTTTTATGTAGCAGTTGAAGGATTATGAGGAGATTTGTAGAGGAAAGGTCCCTTTGCGTTTTGAAATTAGTTGTTTAGGACCTCTTTACACGTTGTTTTTTTCCCAGTTCTTTTTTGCCTTTCATTTAGATTTTATATTTGTTAAATGTAAAGATTGACGTATGGAGGGTGGATGTTCAGGAGATCGTCCGGTAGTTTTTTTGAGATAAATTTCAAAAGTTTCACTCAGAGAAATTTCATAATTGCTTGTTTCTTTAATAGAAAGTTTAGAATTACTGAGAGAAATTTCTAAACTTCCAATTTTTTTGAGAGAAATTTTAGAATTTTCACTTAAGAAATTTATAAAATTTCAAAAAAATTTACTTTGGGCCAAGGGTTTGGCTTATTTTGAGCTTAAGTGCCTCATATCTTTCTTTCTTTCTTTGCTCTCTCCACCCCTGAATATCTCTTTCTTCTTCTCTCCACCCCTTAATGAAATTCTCTCATTAAAAGTTAGAGAAATTTCATTGACTGAAGATAGCAAACTTAGTGAAATTTTGTCAATTTTTCTTCTTATGAAATTCTCTATTCATTATAGATTTTGTTTGATAGATCTTGACAATAGCATTCTAAAAATATAAATTTTATTGAAATTGGATATATAAATGAGGAGTTATTGAATTTTGAAGTTTTAAAAATTTTCAAAAGTGAAAGTGTTGAATGCTAAAACAGTGTATATCTGTTAGTGCTGGAATTCGTTCCCCATAAA